CGTTCCCGGTGGGGTCGCCCCGCGGCACCACAGCGAAGCGGGCAGTGCCCCCTGGCGGCGGCGGCGACTTCGGGAGCGGGCGAGGCCCAGCCCACCCCCTGCCTCGCCGGCCCGGCGGAGGCGCCGCAATCTGCAAACCTCAGCGCCTGTGGTCCCCGCGCGGGTCTTCTCGGAGGAAAGGGGCCAAGGCCGCAGTCATCTGTGCCCCAGTTTCCTGGTCTGTGAAATGGCATGGTAATTGCATCTCATAGTTATGTTGTCAAGATTCAAGGGACAAAGTATATAAAGCACTTAGGATGTCTGGTTGAGCTATTGAAACTCTCAGAGAGTCTGGAATCTCCGCCTCTCTGGAGAGGTGGCCCAGGTCAAAGAGGAACCTTGTGGTACCTGCCTCTGTCCTTTCCCCGTGTCGACCCAAGGGAGAGAGCTTCTGCCTCGCCTAGACGGCCCTCTCACCCCCTTTTGCAAGCTGGTGATTGTGAGATGTAAGAGCTGTGAAGGTTTCAACAAATATTTGTCCCTATCTGAGATCTCGGAGGTCATTTTTATGGGTTTGAGGATTTTATAGATTCAAAAGGGGATGCCTGGTGTACGGCACATTTATAGACACGCAGAGCATAGAGGAAGGGTTAGGAACACACTGGGGGCCTGGATAGGTGCCCCTTTAGATAACTGCCCCGCGCTGCCCTGTCCTGAGCTTCTCTGACGTCCAGCTCCAAGCCTGGCGCGCTAGCACCTGGGTGGGGGGAGAAGGTGGGCGAGAAGGGAGGCAGGGGTGGAGCCTCCTCCGCTGGGAAACTTTGCCTGACGGTTCCCCCCTCCTCCAGCAGTAAGTGTCCCGGTGAGCAATCCTGTCTACTAAGGGTGGCTCTCCACAGCAGAGAATCCCAGTGCTCATTCACATCTGCTTTTTCTCTCTTCCAATCATGCAGGGTCACCCTCCCTGCCCCATGGCAGTTAGGAAGGGCCAATTGGCTAGGGGCAGAGTGAGTGAGTTATTTTCAGACCAAAAAGAATTACTTAGCAGTGCTGGACCTTCCAAGTCCAGGCCCTACGAATCATGGCAGCGTGGAATGAAATGGAACTATCTCAGGATCCAAACAGCCTGGATTACCAAGCTACCCCACAGAAGCCACTGCCCTGGGGAGTCACCCAGACCCACTGTGCACTTTATGTGAACGAGATATAATCTTTTGTTGTGACTAAGATTGGAGAGGTTTGTTAGCACAGCACAGCCAATCCTATCCTGATTTGCCGAGCTTGTAAATGAATGGGTGGCTTGATAAAATGTGAAAATCTGTGCACATTTTAGTTATTATTACTGTTATCAAAGTGTGTGGCAGGTACCTAGAGGGCAGAGACCTCAGCAAAGGTGGGCGTGGTGCTGCAGGGCTGGGCTGGGAGTAGGGAGTGGATCAATGACCAGGGTGTGTCATGGAGAAAAACTTCCTCTTGTTTATGACTTGCCAAGGGCTTGCCCAGGACCTGTTTACATATTCAATCTCTGATGAAAGGTTATAATAAAGCTGGTGCTATTGGCAGGACGTGGACATTTCTCCCAGGTATTTAGTTCCTGTGGTTGTGAAAGATATTTCCCTCTGGATTTGCAGGGTTTCTCTCTCTCTGTTGCTTTCGCTCTCTTTCTCTCTCTCACACATACAGCCACTGCCGATCTCTATGGACATCTGTAATATAGTATTTTAATATCAATTTGATACTGTCTGGGTGCAGGCCCCAGATTAACTGTATCTCTCCATCTTTGAGAGTGGTTGAAGAAAATCACAGTACGGCTTTGTTTCTTAAGCAAGAATCTGCTAACCAGTCACCAGATGGGGCTGTTCCCTTGAAGGACCGTCTGTATGCACCATTCTCAGGGCTTTTTCTTCTTGAAAACCCTTTCCTCTTTGTCCCTTTGCTCCCCAACTCTTCTTTAACTCATGGTGCTATAAGGCTAAATTGGCCATGCTTAATGAATAGTTACAGTGTTCTTGTTAATTAAAGGAAATGTTATCTGGTATGGAACGTTCCACTTCCATCACCCACCTTACATGGCCTTCAAGAGACATCTCACTGTATTTTCCCTTGATTTTTCCAAGAAAGGTCAAGGAAGGATGGAGTGAAAAGGTTTCTGAAGACTCTTTTTTTCCTGGCTCTTTTTGTTCAGCCCTTGAAAGGCTGGATTGTGTGGGGACAGAAAAGAGTGCAGAGGAGTGGGCTTTTGGGGACTGGGGTGGGAGAGGACATAGCTGTGCGGGTACACAGGGAGGTGGCCCTAGCCCTGGAGTCTGGCCTCTGTAGGGCTTCCAGGCTTGGGGGAGAAGCACTACAGAGGCTCAAATGGGAAGGGACCAAAGACCTATAGTGGCTTTCTTAAATGTATAGGCATTCAAGGAGTTTCAGATGGCTCTGGGAGCCAGACCCAAGCATAGCTGATGTTAAATTTCTAGCCAGTCAGCAGGATGAGGATCTGAAATCAAATGTAACTGTTTTAAAGAAACAACTGTGACATTTTTTTGCACACCCAGACTTGGGGAGTAAGAATTCCTCTCTCAGTACTGATAAGTGCCTAACATAAATTGAGCTCTTAGATTGTTTTTCATGCCCACTCACTCCGGGTTTTAGCCATCCAGGAAATCAGATTCATGGGTATCCCTTCACCTTGTCATGCTTCACTCACATCTGAATATACCGAAGGCCTATCAAGCTTATAAATTTCCCAATGGCCTGAGCACAAGTGGGCATCCCCAAGACTCTGCTACACATATGACCCAGCACACAGGGCTTGAGGACCACCCACATCAGCCTCCAGAGAGGAGTCAATTAAAGTACTTTCCTGGGTCTCCTACTAAGGAAATAGAGTCTGGGGCTGGGTGGAGGGTGTTGGAAATTTGCATTTTAACAACATCCTCTATGAGTATCTTACACTCAGGGAAATGTGTTAAGCTTTGCTTTAGAAGGAAAATGAAAATGACACCATTATGTTCCCTGCTGGCAACGGAGATGACAGTTTTCAGGGAGTAGTAGCATTAGTTGTGACCAAGTGATCAGTGGTGATTATGATATTAATTTTGTTTTGCATCATAGACTTAGCTGTTTGTGTCCAATCTCACTTCTGGATATAAAGTCAAGGGCAAGTGATTAGACCTCCTGGGAGCTTAGCACCAAGGGCCTTTGACTTCACTGAAGGAACAAGAAGTGCCTACGACCTACTTTGTACCAGATTGATGGAGGAGAGTTGTGTTACCTCTAATCCCCATGGGCCCCTGGGGGCTGTGACATAGTCACCTCCTCTGTTCAGAAGGTGCAAGTTCTGTCTGCTGTGTAGTATGTGTATGTGACAGTACAAATTCATGACCAAGTTACATCAATAGCAAAATTATAATATATTAATAGCAATATCATAATACAATAAAGGTTTGGGAGGGCAACCAATCTTCCAGAATCTGAAGGTTGGCATTCATTGTTCGTGAACTCAGCTGGAGGCAATGCCTTCAGAATTTGGTTAAATTGCAGCAAGAAAGACCAGGGTTAGTTATAGGGCATCATTTTCCAAGCAGAACCATGGCAAATGCTGAAACTGGCCCGACATTGCATGGAGCCACCTTTCCTGAGTGAGATCTTTGTAAATAAGGCTGTAACATTAGGTTCCACAAAGACTCTAGTCTCACAGCAGTTTGGCCACTGAAATAAAATTTTTGGCTTATCACCATATGAGGACTTTCCAGAGGTGGCTTCAAGTGTGCTTCTGGAGGAGGTCTTCCATGAGGAATAGCATTCAAGGGTCATCCATGACCAATGCCCAGCTGCTCCAGAGGACGTGGTGAGCCAGGTATCTGTCTGGCAAAGGGCCAGGTGCACAGTCAGTCTGGTGAGGCTCTGGACAACATGGATGATGAGGTCAGCATCCTTGCTGACAATCTCTGGGTTCTTGCTGTGCCTGCCCCCCCCTTCCCACACTGTCCACTGAGCCCACTCTGGGAGGAGGCCCTCATTGAAATGGAGGCAGGTGAGGTAAGAGCTGAGGGAAGCTCAGTGGAGAACCATGCACGAGCACAAAGCCGGGCTCCAATAAATATCAAATTTGTTGTTGAAAGGCTCCCTTTGTTGACTTCTGTCTCTGAACCTCTATCACATAGCAGCAATGTCTCTCAACCCAGGTGCCCACTCCTCTGGGGGCAGTGAGAAGAGGCTGAGAAAATGGCAATGAATACATGTTTGAAATCAGGAAGATCAACCTTCCCGGCCTCTGTGTGTGGGCTGCAGCTTGTCATCTGCTTGGTTGCTCACAGGCTTTGCTGACATCCCACACAGCCTCTCTCTTTACTCCTCAGGGTACGGGCTGAAGTCCAGACAGGGACATTCATGTGAAGCCCACTCATCTGTTCCCAGGATAACGTGGGGGAGGGTCTTCTCATTACTTGGAGGTGAGGGGATCTTATCCCATATTTGGGGGGTGGGAGGCTGGGTATTGGGATCATTTTGTAGGCCCTCCTTGGGGGTCTTCACTGTGCTGTGACTTTCTCAGTTTTAAACATGGCCTCAGAAAGACTGGGATAGACATACATAGATCCAAGGAGAGACAGTCCAGGGTTCATGTGAATGTCTGGGTGACCCATCCTCAGGGTTAGTCTTCAGTTTCTGCATGTAGGTAAGGACAGGGACCACACTTCCCAACATGGCAACTTCCTAAATGGTGTCTAGGGGCAGGACCTCAGAGGGATGGGAGCCAGCCCCTCACACAGTCTGTGCAAATGCCAAACCCAGGTACAAAGGGGCTGTAGCCAGGCCCCTACTCCCCGAGTAGCTCTGGCTATTAACAACTCAGCCACTCCCTTCCTCTTACTTCTCTGCAGGCCATGGGCAGTCAGAAAGAGCTGGGCTGCCCTCTTCTCTTTGCACTTATGATGTCTCCCCCGCCAGCAGAGCTGGTGAGGGGCAGAGGCTGCCTCAGTGCACATCCTCATTGGAGGACCCGGCCCTGAAGACAGCCTGGGCATGTGGGAAGACCTGGCTCCCCTACTGTGGCCCACCGAGGATCTACAGGAGGGACTTTTGGGAAGAGGAGGCAAAGAAGGTAAATGGTGACTGGGGTTTTCTTTCTTATTTTAAAAATGTAAAGGGAATGATGTGCTAACGTTGATGAACGCAGGCAAGTGCAGAGGTGGCAGGGTCCATTCTCAGGCGCAAGGCATGGCCCGGACAGGTCAGACGAGGCCCGCAGCCTTCTCCTGCACGTCATACTCCTTGTTCTTTTTCACCCTCCAGCTGATGAAGCAAAGCAGCAGCATCCCCAGGGCCTTGTAGCCCATCTGCAGGCCCAGGTACCTGTGGAGCAGGGGGCGGAAGGGCCAGTGAGGGAGGGGACTCTGCAGCCCAGGTCCCAGGGCCAGGACCCCCCATGCTCACAGTGGCCCAGAGCATGCATGGGCACCATGCAGGTAATGACCTGGCACCATCTGTGTGGGGATCACCTTCCCTCATTCCATTGATGTGAATGGGTACAAGCCCCCAGGGAGGTAGGCAGGAAGTAGGCATGGACCCCTAATCCAGTTCTTGTCATCCCTCTGCTGGCTCCCCCAGAGGGCCAACGGTGACATAGCAACTTTAGCCAGCCTTAGAGGGCCCTCACTTCTGAGCAGAGCAGGCAGAAGTGGGGGGCATCTTCTCACTGCTCTCTCAGGCCGTACCTCTCCTGGCCTTCTCTACCACTCCCACACTCAGCCCCCAGCCCCTCAAGCCCACTCTCCCACAGCTTCTGGGCCATGGGATGATAGCAGCAGGCGAAGTGGCTGGAAGGGGTGCAGAACTTCAGCTGGGTTGGGCCTCCCTGCCCACAGAACTCTGCCAGATGGAGTTCCCCTCTCTGAGCATTAGGAGGCTAGCCCAGAATCGTCCTAGAGCCAGGGCCTCTCCCTCAGACTCCAGTCATCCCCATCCCTTCTTTCTACTGCTGCCTCTTCCAGTAGCCACTGGCAGATGACCACCCTTTGCCCAGGCCTGGGGTCTGGCCCTTGACTCATGTATGTGCTAGGCCCTCACCTGTTTCGGAGGGCATCATTGTTGTAGTAGGCGCAGGCCCCGTGCCTCCCAGAGCACTGTGAGTTCCACCGGATACAGGAATAGTCAATGGTGAGGCCATAGAGGGCTGGAGCCGGCAGCCAGGCTGTCATGGGGGAAGAGTTCAGAGAGCCCAGGTCACATAGAGCTGCCGGCAGAGTGGCGAGTGGCACCCTGGCATGGTTCACATGTATGAGGATGGCTCTGCCCTGCCCTTGGGAATCAGTGACTTTGGAAAGCAGAATAGCTTTCACTGAAGCCTGAATTTCTCTTTCACCAAGAGGGTTTAGAAGAAAAAAGGGACCTAGGCCATTCTTTTAAGGCAAAATGAGTCACAAAGGTCACCCTGATGCTAGCTCAGACATCTAATATAGTTCTCACGCTTGAAACTGACCACTACCCTGTACCAAGAGGCTCCTGAGGGCATCAACTTCTCAAGTACTCACTCTAGCCCAGAGATGTGGGTGACTTCACCTTAGTAGGGCAGAAGGGGGGCCTGGCTTGCCTACTATTACACAGCCAAGGGAAGTCAGGGCTAGATTTGAACCCCGGTCTACAGAAGTCCAAATCTTATGTGCTTCCACTACACCAAGCTGCCCTATCAGATCAGACAGCACCCCTGAAGACCTCTCAACACCCAGTCTGCCCAGTCATTGCCCACAGCCCCTGAAATTCCTGGAAGCTGCGTGGTAAGACCTGGTCCGACAGGGACTACACTTTCCTGGCTATTACATAGTTTGGACATCTCCTACCCCGTTATCATTAGCCACAGTTCTATACTGTGGGAAGGGGCTTGTCCAGGATTCATACCCAAGCTGAGCCATCTCATTCTCAGAACAGCCTCCCAGACTTTGTGTAGAGCCCTGTGAGATGCTGCCTCCAGAGGAAAGAGACAATATTCACTATGCAGCCCCTCCCCAAAGCAGGGAACTTCAAGAAGCAGCCTGGCTACTCAGACCCTGCTCACTCCCAAGTCTCCAGGTAAACAAGGGATGGAAACTGGTCAGATGGATTGACCACCCAGGATACCTTCCTACATAGAAATGAAGTCCAAAAAAATTTCCAACCAAATCCTGGTGGGTAATTTTAAACCTCCTGGAGTTTATATGTAGAAAGTCCTTTTTCCTACCCCAGAGAGAAATTGTGTTCTTAGGTGATAAACGGATTTCCTCCTGGCCTGGATTTTCTAACTATGGCCCCACATTGAGTTATATGAGCTCAGACAGAAAAACAAAAGCAGCAAGTGCTTTGAGGAGTAAGAGTTGTTTTCAAGGTCATTTTCAAGGTCATTTTCAGGGTTGCTGGATGAAGCAGAGCCTATCCCAGCTGTTGGTTGGGCCAAGAGGAATGCAGGCTCTCCTTCCCAGCGGAGGTTTTAAAGCAAGTTATAAATGATAAGTTAGAGACACAAAAACAAGGTACTATGATGACAATAGTCTTTCCTAGCCTCAGCCAGGGGGATGGGTAGATCCCACTACTGTGAGTACTTGGTGTCTATAATGTAGGACAGAGGTGCAGGATCTGAAGGGACTTAAAGGAGTTCAGCAGGGACTAGGGGAGCAAGTGGCCTGAGGCCAGGAAATCCCATTGAAAAAGCTGGTTTGAACATCACCATTCAGATACCTCACCCAGCCTGGGGTCAGAATGGGCCCTGCAAAGGTTTCCATTCAGCCAGCCTCGGAAGGGACATCACCCACACCCCAGAATGAAAATGAAAGCCACTGCAGGAGAGGAGTGGACCTGGCCTCCTGGGTGATAACACACAGCGTGCTCTCAGGATTTCCTCATTTGAGGGTGGAATGTACACCTTCTGGTAACTGACGTCCCTCTCTCTAGAATCTCCATATTCCCTTCTGTACCCACCAGATTCTTAATAAACAGTAATACAACCTCAGCTGAATTCAGTCCCTCCATATTATTTCAGGATCTCCATATTAATGCCTGGTGTTAAATCTAGTACATGTGGCTTGAAGCCTGAAGCTCAGCGGCTAGGGTGCCAGCCACGTGCACCAGAGCTGGTGGGTTCAGATCCAGCCTGGGCTGTCAAACAACAGTGACAACTGCAACCAAAATAATAGCTGGGTGTTATGGCAGGTGCCTGTGGTCCCAGCTACTTGGGAGGCTGAGGCAAGAGAATTGCTTGAGCCCAAGAGTTGTAGGTTGCTGTGAGCTGTGATGCCATGGCACTCTACCCAGGGCGACATAGTGAGACTGTCTCAAGAAAAAAAAAATCTAGTACATAAATGGATGTATCAAGAAGGGAGAGCCTAGCATGAGGGGTCCTGGGAAGGGCCTGCAATGCCCCCCCCCCGACCCAGCCCATGCACCCAGGGAGAGCTGGTGTTCCCCACAAGGTACTGCTGATCTGATCACTGTACAGCCCCACTCCTCCCGTGGGCTCTTGGCTGCCTGAGGGCAGGCAAGGTTTGCTGTAGAGAGACCCAAACGAGAAACTTTTTTGTTGAACAGCAGCAGGAGGAGTGAAGTAGGAGCAGCAGGAAGGGAGCCAAGGTTGGGCTCAGCTTCTGTTCTGGCTGGGGCAGGAATGCAAGAATTTGTTCTTACCGCAAGTTCTTGGAGAAAGATTTTAAAATACCTGCCTTTAACTCTCTGTTAGGTATTTTCAGTTGTGTCTATTTTTCATTGTATATAAATTAGTTTAGAATTTCTGCCACAGAGGGAATCTTTCCAGATCTCAAGCTACTGGGGAAACTGTGCACATGGGGTCTTGTCATCTGCCATTGCTCTTGCAAGCTTCTCTTACCATGCGGATGTGTTGGGCCTCCCCACTTCCCTGCCCTGAACCCCGCATCCTGGGGTCACAGCTCGGGGAGGGGTCCTAGATACTTACCCAGCAAGCGCATCAGCAAGAACTGAACCCCGATAGCAAATGACTTTTCTTCCTGGTTCACCACACTGAAAAGGAAGACAGGAAATCAGCAGTGGGAGGATTCAGGGCTGCACGACCCCATAATCAGGGTTTAGACCGCCTCAGGGTGGATCAGAACCTGCTGTAAGTGGCCTGATTGACCTGGCTGAATGCCCTTGTTGTTTGTGGCTGTGGTTCTCAAAGCACCATCCCTGAATCATCAACTGGAATCATCGGTGTGCTCTGGGAACTTGTTAGAAATGCAGATTCTCAGGCATTAGCCCAGACCTACTGAGTCAGAAACCCCAGGGGTGGGCCTAGAGATCTGCCTTAACAAGCCCTCCAGGAGATTCTGATGTACAGTCAAGTCTGAGCACCCCTGGCCTATGCAGTTTTCAGGGGCTGCCCATAGTCCGCTTCAAGAGGCAGAGGGTGGAAAAGGCTAGGAGCAGAGAGACAAGGATGCTGGCATGCGAGTTGACCAGGGCAGATCTGAACAACTCCAATAGGGTGTCTCAGCCCAGGAAAGTCTGGTGCAAGTGTAACTAGGAGCCCTGGGCAGCAGGCTTCTGTGTACGATTGAAAGAATTCCCTACTCTGGGCCAGCTCTGTGGGTGTGTGAACCGCGCAGCTGCACAGAACTCCGTTCTCAGAGAAGCCCCACATTAGGCTTAATGCCCACCAGCGACTGTCTTGAAATTCTTAATTTTTGAGCCAGGGGCTTTACGTTTGCATCAGGCCCTGAAAATTATAAAGTCATTCCTGCCTCTGTCCCTCTTCCTTTGAGAGGGGGAAATGTGTTTGGATGAGGAAAGAGGTTCGGAGAGGGTCCAGGCCCCACCATCCTGTCTGGGGAGTGGGAGAGGAAGGATGCCCCACACTAGGCGAGAAGCCAGGAGCTGGCCTGCAGGTCTTCTGCTCTGAGCACACACACTCTCAGAGGTGCTTTTGGGGGAAAAGCCTTCAGGGCTGAGGGGTTAGCAAGGAAGGGCGCTCAGTAGTAGTCCCCAGGTCTCCACATGGTTTGTTTTAATCCCGTCACCACAGTTCTGTTAGCAAACTGGAAAGAGAGCACCTTCCAGTCCCCCTGAGGGATGGCCCAGTGGGGAAACCTCACTGGGTATAGGCAGGGGAAAGGGGCACTAGGATCCCCGCAGGGGAAAGGGGCACTAGGATCCCCGCAGGGGAAAGGGGCACTAGGATCCCCTCAGGGGAAAGTACCTCGAATCCCCTGCTATGTCTTGGCCCTCACCCTGGGCAGACTTCCTAGATTCTCAACTAAATGGGACTTGGGCACCCAATTTGGCTTTTGATTGAGATCTTGGGCCCCTTCTGGTCTCTGCCCCATGGGGCCCTGAATTAAGGCAGGCTTTCTGGCCACTCTCTCTCATTCCGTGTTTTCAGTTAAGCTTCACACCTAACCTGTGATCTCATGGCTGGCTGGGAACCAGGATTGAGTCAAATAATGCTTGGGTGACCACAAAGTCATCTTCAGCCTCGTCTTCTTCAGGATTGGATCCTGGAGCCTCCTCTCCAGCTTCACCCCTGCCCATGACCAGATTTGGAGATTCTTCCAGAAAAGCCCATTCTTTGGTTAGAAGGCTGCTCTGTTCTCCACATGTTCCCCATCCTTGGTGTTTGACAGAAGTCTTCTGGGACAGGGATTGCTGTCTCCCTTACTGCTTAGGGTCTTCCCTGAGAGATTTCCTTACCCTGTCCCCTGTTCTCTTCATGGCCTTATGCAGATTTATCTCAGGGCTAGAGGGTTAATCATGATCCATCTGACCTGGGGCATAAGAATGGAAACCCACTGTGGTGCCTAAGGTGACAGTGTCAGTACTCGGAATGCACAGGATCAGGGACAGCAGAGCGGAGGGGGACAGCGGTGTTAGAGAAGCAACATGCCATGGGCTCCGGGCACCCCTGCACTTTCTTGCCAAGTATGCTAAGAATGCAATGTCCTGACTGCTCTTTTCCTGGCCCTTTCTCAGGGTTGTGGTTAAAGTTTCTCCTAGACCAAGAGTGATCTTTCTCACAGCTCACCGTATAAGCAACAGCTCTCCCACACTCAGCATTCCTACAAAACAAACTCCTGGGCCTCTCTGTGTCACCCCTATAGGATTTAGGGGCTGAGGATAATTGACACACCATGAGGTTCATGCTACTTTCTGTGCTGTGGTAAAGTCCTTTGTCTTTGACCGAGGGGAGTCTCAGGTCTTCTGCCAGCATCCTTGAAATAGTAGTTTGGAAGCTTGGATGCTAACTTGATAGCTAACTTATAAAGAGGGTAAAATCCCCAACCCCAAACAAGTGGCTGCTTCTGTTCCTTCCTCATCTCCTAACCTTTCTGGGGGAAAATAAGCCATGGGTACCTAGCTGGCTGTCAATAATTATTATTGTAATTTGGTTAATAGTGATAATTAACCAATCTGTAGAACCTTATATTTACAAAGCAGTTTATTATATATATTTATATAATCCTGACATCAACCTTTTGAAGTCAAAATCATTATCCCCATTTCTCAAATGAGGAAACTGAGTCTCCGTGAGGTTAGGCAACACCCAAGTCATTTATTCAGTATGTGGTAGTACAGGGACTGTGATTGGCACCAGGAGTTCAAATCCTGTGTTTTTCTCTCTGCTTATAAGTGGGTGAAGACAGGAGTGAGGGCAGGCGGTGGGTTAAGTTAACTTGGTTGAAATGTTGTTTTCTCCTTTGCAGCCAGTGAGGTGAAGGAAGGGTCATTCCCTGTAAAAACCTCAGCAGCGCTTCTGCGCCAGCTGTAATGGGACACCTCTCCTCCCCTCTCCCTTCCCCTCCTGCTCTGGCTAGCCTTTCCCTTCCTGACCTGAGGACTTGGTCCCAGATCCAAGCATACTAGGATTTTCTCATTTTTATCCTTTTCCCTATCCCCCACTCTGTCTCTGGAACTTTCCTTAATGTTTCAGCCAGCATTCAGTCAGGGCCACATGGGGCAGAAACCAGAAGGGGCCCAAGATCTCAATCAGCATCCTTGCCTTGGTTTTGTGCACTCGGTTGAATTCTCTTCTCTCCTCTCAGTTCCTTTAGGATTAAAAAACAACCAAATATATTGGCATTTCCAGAGCATGGCTCAGCATTCAGCTCTGCCATCCTGAGCTAGAGATTTAACCTGCCATATGTAGAGTGGGGGTGATCACAGGGCCTGTATCCTGTGGGACTCAGGGAGCATGGAGCCTGCAGGGGCAGGGCTCTCAGCACAGCTGCTGCCAGTATTATTTTCCCATATTACCAAAAGGACCGTGCACGTTGTTGTTTAAAGGACCCTGAGGACCAGAAAAGGGAGGAGAGACAGGAAGTGAGTAACTGGGCACAGTGTCAAAGGGAGATATGGGGAAGCAGCCAGGCCTGGGGCCCCAGAGGCGCCACTCACCGCAGAACCATCATGTAGAGGGGGTTGTGGGAAATGCAGGCTATCAGGGACACGAAGGAGATGAGGAAGATGGCCGGGAGCAGGAGGTGGGCGCAGGGGATGGGGCACGATCCTGACTTTGCTGAGGCAGATCTCCCGTCCACACAGCTGCAGTTCAAATAAGTCTTGAAGAGGAAAGAAAGACAGGGAAAGGAGGGAAAGTCTACTGTTACCACATCTCCGCACACCGCGCTCCAAACGTCTGCACCAGCTCTTTCCAGACACTGCCCCAGCTTTCACCCACTGTGTCCTCCAGGTCCCCGGGGGGCTGGGTGAGGCTGAGACCAGGTAGAGGTTTCAGGATGCTCCAGGGGTCCCGCCTCTGTTACTGTCTGGGTAACAGAAACTGTCTTCCAGTGTGAGCCAGGCTCCCCAGGAGTTACCCCACCGCTGGAAACCAAGGACTGGGAAGGCTCTACTCCGAGCCACACCACCCCACGCCCAGCAGTGGTGGGTTCATAGGTGCTTGTTCTTCCATTTGAGCGTTTGTTGCAGGGGAAGGTAGGAATAGGAGGAAAGCAGTGGGAACACAGTAAAATCTCCTGAGCTCTGCATCTGTCAGGACTTCGTGGGAACTCCCTGCCTGAGAGGAATTGCTTCTGTGTGTAAAGGACTCCTTCGGAGGAAAAGGCCCGTTTCAAGTCTGCAAGTCTGTATGGCTTGCTACTATTGTACAATTCACTTTGGTGGCCCCTGCTCTAGGCCGGTGGTCTTCACTTTTCTTCCTGCAGTGTCTGATTGCCCATTCTGTGACCATTCAAGTATTATAACAGTTCTAGGCCATACGTTGGAACTAATCAGCCAGGGTATTTCCTTCTACTAGTTAAGGTACCTTTGTGACCACGGCTCCTAGAAAATGCAGAAGTAAGATAATACAATATTGCTTGTTACCATCCTCAGTCTGGGGGTTATAAATACAGATTTTTTTTTCCTTATAATTTATTATTTTTTTCCCACATAGTGTACTAATGGATTTCTAGTTTGATGAACTTAGGCTATTATTGGAAACTTGCCAAGATTATTTCTGGAAGTAGGTGAGTCAGAAGTAAGTAAAGATAAGAAAGCCACAGAAGTCACCATAGACTTCTCTAACTGGAAGGAACTACAAGAGCATCCTCTCCAAGTTCCTCCTCCTCCCTCTGCCTGAGAGGCGCACTTCTTTGCCCACAGAGATGGCTGTGGTCCTCTCCTCTGAAAAGGGGTTGCTAAGGGGGGCTAGTCTTGCCCATGCCCTCCGCAGATCTATAAGAATAAGGCACATTCCTCTCCTTAGGGCATCCTTATGGTAACTGCATAGACTTTCCAATGACTCAGCAGTTCCTGCCTGCTTCCCAGCCTGGCTGGGTGTGACACTCCTCACTCAGTGTCAGTCTTGGTGTCTTCTCTCTTCTCCTACAGCACATCAGTACCTGTGTGTCCTGGGGACATGCACTTGCTATTCCCTTTACCTGGAATGCTTTGCTCCCAGGTTTTCACTGGTTTTCCTTCTCTTGTTTGTTCAGTTCTAATGTCACCTCCTTGTCCCATTAAATCTTTCCCTGGCATAGGTTACTTTATTTAAAACTCTCTTGTGCATGTATTTATAAAATGCAAACTCTATTAGCACAGGAACTTTGGCTGATGGGTTCACTCCCATATCCTCAGCACCTGTGGATGTGCCTCGTGTTCACTACTTGTTGAATAATTAAATGAATGACTCAAGTCGGTTTGCTGCTGGCTGTTCCTAAAAGGTCTCCACAAAGAGATGGATAGGCCCTGGCCTAGAGAGAACAGAATGTGGGCTGTCCAAGTAGAAGGCTAGTGGCCAGGATTTACATGGCCTTGACCAGATGGAGGCAGAGCCCTGGATGCTAGTCCCAGATCAGCCCCTAAGTAGTTGCATGACTTCAGGCCAGTCATATGTCCACACTTGGGAGCTGAGGGGTTGAACAAAATGTTCTCAGCCATGGCTTCCAGCTCTAGCCTTTCAGTTTCATGTCACAGAGGGCCTCTGCCCTTGTTTTATCTGGGCCAGTCCACATGGCCTTCAACATGGCCAGGATGCAGGACCGAGAAGGATGAGGCTGAAAGTCCTTGGCTGAAGAAGTGTTCTGACTTGCTTCTTCTATGAACACTCGTAGGTCTCAGGATCGTACATTAGTTGGACATTGGCTAATCTTTAATTGACTTTGGGCTGTCAACATCTGGTTGTATCCTGAGGGAAGGGGAGAGGAAGAGAGGATGGGTGTGGCTCAAAGGAGGCCATGAGGTCAGTAAAGACAGTTGTGGAGCCCTGCCTATCCCTGAGCCAGAGAGCAGTCCCAGAAGGTATACACCGAGCTCCCAGACCCCACAGGGCTCCTCCAGCCACCCTTACCACCTGCTTGGAGGCTGCAGAGCTCATGTTGATGTCGCTGCAGCCGGCATGGCAAGGGGAGAGGTACTCCACTCCATTGTCCCCGCAGACTGGGTGGAAGATAGAATCTGGGCACGAGCAGTCCCTGAGGCACACAGGAGGCTGCGGATGTATAGAACTTGATGTGCTGCCAGCAAAAAAGGAAACGGGGAATCAAACAAAGCAAGACCAAAGAAAAACCTCTACACCCCAGCCCAGTGCAAGTTCTTGGCCAACTGATGTGCCTGCGCATCTCTATTTGTCTTGGGCCAGTGCCACGCTGGGATCTGAATTATGCCTCGTGGAGCCAACAAAGAATTTGCCACTGTTCAGTGGTTATGGCACCTCTGTTTCTTCTGCTATTTGGAGCCCAAACATAACAATTAGTCAGCTGAGAAGGCTTGGTCGGCAAACCCCTGCCACAGAAGGAGTCAGGACAACTAACACTTGCTGACAGAATGGCAGTTGCCGTGAAAAAGTCACAGGTGATATGTAACCTCCCTCCTCTTCCAGCTGGGCTCAGGCTGAAGACAGTGGCCGAGAACCCTTGAGGCAATTGGCTCCTGCTTGCTGCCTGTCTCCTGGGTCAGTATAGACATCGCCTGGTTACTCTAACCCCGAGTGTCGACCAAGGGTATTTCACTGGTTGATCTCACTGTTTCCAATGTCCTACATATCTGATAGCCATGAACTTCTCTGGGGGAGGCTGGGATGGGAGCTGACAAACCATAGACCAGCTATGTCACTAATATAATTATGCTAAGGATATTATAGGGCATCTCTTACGTGCCAGGCACTGTGCCCAGGGGCTTTTAATGCATAATCATTGCAATCACCTTTTGTGCATGAGAAAACTGAAACTTAGATAAGTAACTTCCCCCAAGTACCAAAGGGCCCCAAGACCAAAACCCAGGCCTATCTGATGACAAAGCTACACGCTAAACTCTCAGGGGAAGCCATCAAAAGGCCCAAAGGCTTCTTAGCGTCTCTCAGCCCATAGTTGAGAAGAGCAGCACCCAGCAGGTCCCCACCCTGAGGGACCCTCCCTTCTCCTTTTCTTCAGCCAAAGACAGGAGGAGGTTATTTCAAGGAGAAAGAGAAGACACCAAGGTTGTGACCAAATGTTGCAACCTCTTTAGGCAAAGTCTAAAAGAAAAGCTGGTTGAAAGGCAGCACCAGGAAAAAAGTGAAAATGCTCCTTGCTCAGCATTCTTCCCTTCACAGGGCTCTAAAGTCCATTCTGAACATATAAAGCCAGGCTGAAAACCATGGCCCATAGTGCTTTATGCAAACTGACAGGTAGAATTTTACCTGCCCTCCTCCTTACCTGCCCTAATTTTTCATGTCTGCCATCACTTCCATTGTTCCTCTCCAGACCTTTACAAGTCCCCTCTTGTCTTTCTGCAGCAGCTCAGTGAGACTCTGTAATTCTAGCCACCACAGAGCTGATGCTAAACATAGCTTATTTCCTGGTGCCTGTGGCTCACAGCCCTACAGAAACCAGATGAATTAGTTTTTGATGCTTTTTAAAAAACAGAACCCTAACCATGAATGCTGGTGGCCCACTAGAACCCTTTGATCTCTTCTCATATTGGAACATGATACTCAAGACCCAATTATCTAAGTACCCATATAAATGATCAGATCGGAGTCTAGAGTACTCACCATTATGGTGTGGAAACTTGATATCAGATCAAAAGTGAATAGCCCAGAAGAGTCAAGGAGGCAGGAAGGAAGATGAATGGCAGTCAGACTGAGGCTCTAGCCTTAGCAGAAAGTATCTCCACACCCCTTACATCCCTTACCTGGGGGGGTAGACCTCGGCCACGGCTGGTGTAGAACATCCCATGAAGAAGAGAGGGATACAGAGGATCATGGAGATGATGATGATGGTGGTAGCTACTCGGGGAATGGTTTGTAGAGAGAAAACAAAACGCTTCATGAGGATTCCTCCAAATAACATCCCCAAGGCTGCAGCAGGGAGGTTTACAGCACCTGTGGATGGAGAAAAGGAGCTAATTTAGGCGCACAGCCCTGGGAATGTGTGTGGACGACACTCACAGAGCTGGACCCACCAAGAAGGGAGCATGGCTTCAGGAAAGAACATTGGATATGTTAAAAATAATTGTAATAGGTGACATTACTTCAGCATTTACTGTTTTCCAGGTGCATCTAGAGCAGTGGTTCTCAACCTTCCTAATGCGCTGGCCCTTTAATACAGTTCCTGTGGGTTGCGACCCCATAGGTTGAGAACCGCTGATCTAGAGAGTTATCTTGACATTGAGGATTGCCCTGTGTATCGCAAAGAATAAAGAAGTGGGGCCTTTGCAGCCTGAGGGATGTGGGTTGAATGTACATTTATTAAGTACCATTCATTATATGGTCCATTGCACCCTCACTGTGACTAGATGGGTTAGCCATGCAAGAGTGATGACCCCTGAAGGTCAGAGGGGTAAAGTCACAGCCAAAGGCCACTCAGAGGGTACAGGGGAGTTACTCTCAAAGTCTCATGACTGACTGTCTTGCCCAATCCATATGGTTAAGCTCACCTGTGGGTTGGGCCCAGTAATTTCCTTGAGCACTTGGTGGGACCACATCAGTGGTTCTCAGCCTTAGTTGTAAAATATACCGATGCCGAGCCCCACCACCAGAGATTCTGACTTCATCGGTCTAGGTATCTGCATTTTGTAAAGCTCTGCAGAGGAGCCTGAAGTGCAACCTGGGTTGAGAATCTCTGGGCCACATACCTTCTCATTCAAGCAAATGTATTCAAGTCCCAGGAGAAGAAGGAAAACTCAGGAGGCATTTTGTCTACCTCCAAATCCAATCCTCCCTCTTTCCTCTGTTTCTCCTGCTGATGTGGCCTTTGGGAGGCTGTCAGACTTCCAGCCCCTCAATGGGGAGGAAGGCAGTCCCCAGCCTCCACCCACCTCTGACTGGAAGGAGTACCAGAAATCTGCCAAGAACATTCTAGGTTGTCAAGCAGGAAAAATGTCCTTAAAATTCTTTCCCTTGGGCTGTCCTCCCCAGCCCCTGTCTGTGTCCGGTCTGGCCTGCACCCGTCCCTGGATGGGCGGCCAGAGCACCTGGCTCCTGCCCAGCTCCAGCAGCACCTTCCAGACTCACCAATGAGGAAGTTGGCATAGGCCGCAGAGGCGCCATACTGCTTCTCCAGGAACTTGTTGAGGAATGTGGAAAGGCCGGCAATGACGGAGGAGAAGGTACACTGGGCCAGCACCACCAGCATGAAGAGGGGGTTCATCAAGAGCCTCAGGAAGATACGGGGAAACCCTGTAAACATACCACTATTGGCAGGAGCCAGGCCTTTGCAGCAGCTACCACGGGGTGGCCCTACCCTGCCTCCTCTCTTCCTTAGGGCAGAATCTGAGGCACTAAAATGTTCAGTGGCCAGTCTAGGGGCCCACAGCTGCTTGGACCCCCCACTAACATGCTCAGGGGCTAAATAAAATGAGGATGTACTGAAAGAAATCAAGTGATGGGCAGGCAGAAATAGGACTGACCCTGGAAACTGTTTCCTCCCATGACCAGCATGTCACATGAAGGGAGGAGAGGGAAGAACATGGGGGCAGACCGTGGGGCAGGGGTGGAGGACTGACCCTGCCTGAATTTGGTCTCCGGGTACCCTCAAAGTAGGTACCCTGAGCTGCAGGTGCATCTAGGAGATGGGCACCTGCTCCTACATGGGCTGGGGTCCCCTGCACACCCTCCATCCTCGCCCAGTCAGTTACGTTTAATAAAATCCACCACAGAGCCTCTTGAGCCATTGTCCTCCATCATCCTTGCTTCATCCACCATGGCAGGAGACCTCTGAAGGCAGCAAAAGGGGCTGAATGTTAATGGCCCAGGCTTGCCGCAGCTTCCATCCCCAGGCCCTCAACCGTCTGGTGTCAGAGGCTCAGGGCCAGGCAGAGGTGAGCTGCCCCAGCCTTGGGTATCTGGAGGGCAACCAGGGCACACACTCTTGAAGCAAACACCCACCACATTTCCTTGAGCCTGGGGTTTTGGCTGACAACCAGAACACAACCATGCCAAGGCCTCCCACAATACTTGTGGGCATATTATTTTGTATCTAACTTTCCCATGACTGATGCCAAAGGTATCTTCTTGAATCCCACTCCCAGTTCTCTCTGTCATGGCTATACTTCCCTGTGCCCTCAGACTCCATGGGCCACTGGTTTTTGGGATACTGTGGTTTGGATGCCCCATTTCTAGCCCTCCCTTTCTATCTCCTCTCTGGGGTCCCTACAGTCACCCTTTCCCTGCACTGTAGGGGCATACCATCTCAGAGAACCTGCCTACCTCTTCCAATCTGTCAGCTGTAGCCTGAGGCCCCCATGTGAACTACCCCCCAGATGTGAGGCCCCTGAGCTCTGACACCATTAGGATGTTCCTGGGAATTCATCCCCGGGAAGAGACACTCCCAGACATGAGGCCCATGAGCTCTGACACCATCAGGATGCTCCCGGGAATTCATCCCCAGGAACAGACACTCCCATTCATTGAGTGCTTGCTCCATGCTGGGCAACATGCCCAGTGTTCCACACGCATTGTCTCATTCCTTACCACTTCCTTCCCAGATAGGTACTCTAATTATCTAGAGTATTTTAAGAAAAAGGAAACTCGAGAACAAAGAAACTTGATGAAGATCACTCAGCTAGTTTGTAAGTAGCAGAGCCGCATTCAAACTCAGGGCTGCCTGACCCCAAACTCCCATGATATGCTGCCAGCCTCTGAAATTCATTCCCAAGACAAGCCAAGATCCTCTTGCCTCTCTTCCTCGTCCCTCACCTGAGCCTAGATTTCATACACTTCATTGCCAAACACTAAGCTCTATTTCTGGCTCAAAACTTAGGCATAAACTTTATCCCCTTCTCCTCCAATTAAGCTGACTCCTCTGGTTGCCTCTTCCAGGAATAGCTATCCGTGCCCTTGTCCTCACCCTCTGACAGCCATGGATGCATCCCCATCTCTTGCCTGGGCCTCTGTACTGGCCTCTTTGGATTTCCAGCCTTCATTCTTCCCAGACCCCTCAACCTCATCCACACTGCCATGTTGCCACCCAAGTAGTCCCTTGGTCACAGCCATGTCCCAGAACTCCACGGGTATAGAACAGGTTTAGGCCCTTCAGTTGACCATCAAGACCCCCTCCCAGACTTCTCTTCCTTGTTTTCTATTCTCATCGTCCCTGATTCCTTTTTCCACAGATCTTACTGGAAGATGCTTAGAAGGTCATTCTGCTCAAATACTCTCCATTCTCAGTACCCCACACTGTTCAGTGCTAGGAATCCCCTTCTTACTCAGTCCCTCAGGTGCAGACACAATTGGCCTATTAAATGCAAAACTCAAAAGCGCCAGGTCACACTTGGTTTTTATTGGCTTTTAACTCTTTAGCCCAATTTAGATGGGTTCAGCGTTTACCAGACTGTTTCCTAGAGCCCTCCTCATCCTCGAGATGCTGACATGGTCAGGGAACACTGAGGAGATATGACCCTTTGGAAATTCACTAGCATCCTCATCTCTCAAAGTCTCTGAGAAGTCTTGCATCATGAAACTTGTTTTGATTCTACGCAGGATTTGCTTAACCTTCTGCAGCATCTCAGCTGTTTATTTCCTACCTCTCTTTCTTAAACTCCTACAGGTAGAGTCTTTGGTTCACAGAACCTTACCTCCACTCCTCTGGGCATTGTTCGAGGAAAGAAAAAGAAGGGGAAAGAGCTGAGAACCAAGAAGCCTGAAGAAAGGATCAGGCCTAGCCACCAGGCTCCAATCCATCGGGGGTCTTCTGGGGTCAAGTTAACTGTAGCTGAAGAGAAACCAAAGGATACAAGTGTTTATTGAATGAATGCACAATCTCATCTGCCTGGAGGGAGGTGCTCTGATGAGGGGGAGTTTTATTGACTTTCTTCCCACAATGGAGAAGAAATAAGCCATGAGCTAAAACCTTGGTTGAGACAATATTCCCTCTCTGGGCCATTCTGGTAGTCCCAGAGAACTGAGGCCATGGAGCAGAACATCAGAATGCTCCCAGCTGAAGGGAGCAGGAACTTCACCTCACCTTGTTAATTCCCAGCCCTTAGCAAGAATAGTAGTGAAGGGAGCTGACTCTCCTGAGGGCTTACCATGGGCCAGACCCTAGATCTGTGCTTGACATCTGTTATTCCCCTGAGCCTTACCAGCAAGTCTATGGGTTAGGAGCTAGCTCTATCCACCTCTAACCAACCAGGAAACTCAGGATCTGAGAGGTGAAGTCCTTTGTCTCAGGTTAAGGCTCATAAGGGCCATTTTACTGGTCAGTTTCAAACCTTTGTCCTCTGGTACCCAAACTTGCACCCTTAACTACTGAATTCTACTGCCTCCCAACTTTATTGGCCCCTAAAAGGAAGCCCCGTGATCCTTAGATGCCTGAAGAATGATCAGTATGGGCTGTCTGCCCTCCAGAGGAGAAGCTTTCCCCTGGCAATTCTCCTATGCACATCTACTGGTCTGCCATCGTGTTCCTCTGTGTAAAGAAATGAGCCAGGCACAAAGGAAGGGAGGGAGAAGGCGGAAGAATTGTTCAGTCAAACCTGAGCACTGTCAGGGTGGATGGGGGCTCAGTTGCTGGTCTGTTTGGGCAGGGACTGCCTGGGACCAACTCAGCAAGTGCCAGAAAAAGGGCAAAGATGGCTCAATCCCGACGTGGAAAATTTCCCTTGGCTTTCCAAACTTTATTTGAAATAGAGGCAGATGATACCACACAGATGACATTATGAGTCTGACAGCCCTGAGTACAAGAGTCTGGGATCTGGTGGTATGCTCAGATTTCACACTTGCTAATTCCTTGTGTGAGGGGCATGCCCTGACCTGTGTGCAGTATGTGTGGTCCTGCCTTCTAGCCATATCTTAAGGCAAGCAGGCACTTCACATAACACCCCACACTCTTTACCCTTTTGATTATGTTTAGGTGGTTTCCTCCCAATGGGAAGGCCTTCCCTCCCCCTTCATTCCTCATAGAAATCCCACCCACCTATCATGTCCAGACAGGTGTCACTTCCCTAGAAAGCCCTCCCAGATTGCCTCAGGCAGGAGCTCTCTCTCCTGCATCTGAACTTCCCCAGCACTTTGCCCATCCCTCTGATACAGTCCTCACCTTTCCTGTCCTCCTGTGGGGGGCTGGGTGGTGATGGACACACTTGTAAAAGCAATAGGCCTTGACTGGATTCATCCTGGGACTTGGTCCCTGCCAAACAGTTAACCTAGTACTTAAACTTCTGTCTACATCTTCTTATTTTAAGATATGCAGTGACTTAGACCATACTGTTCTTTGAGGGTTACAAGCTTGTACTGTTAACTGCTTAATATCTATCAGGCTTATTCTAATGTACACACACACTATTTTACTTCCATTAGCCCCATTTTATAGGTAAAGAAACTGAGGCATAGAAAGATGACATCACTAGCCTAAGATCACTCAGCTAGTAAGAAGCAGGACCAGCATGAGACACAGGTGGTGCCCACACAATAAACCCCACATAAGCCCTTCTGGCATGAGTCAGTCATCCAGGTGTGTATTAGAGTATTCCTTTTTTCTTCAAACAGCACTTACTAAATCTTAAAAACAAAAAACAAAAGCAAACAAAACCCCCCAGCAATATCTTGGATTCACAGAACTACAGGAATATTTTTAATGCCACCACCATAATGGGAAGGTGTGTGACAACGCCTGAGGCCCTACCCTAGGTCTTAAGCAGTAGTTCCCAACCTTCTTAATGCCTCCTAGTGTTGGGACCCTTTAATACAGTTCCTCGTGTGGTAGTGGCCCCCAACCATAAAATCACTTTCATTGCTATTTCATAACTGTAATTTTGCTACTGTTATAAATCATAATGTAAATATCTGATATGCAGGATGTATTTTCTTTGTTACAAAGCAGTCAGGACCCACAGGTTGAGAATTACTGTTTTAAGGGCTTCCTGCTGCGAGCTCCTTGGGGGTAGAAAGTATGTCTGCTGCAGCAGCTCCTTCCCACGCCAGGCGCGGCCCGTGAGAAGAGGTACACCTGTCCACTCCCTGCTGTCTGAGGAACTCAGGGCTGAGCAAGTGACTGAGGAGGGGCAGTAGGCACGTGGAGCTGAAGCTCCATTCTCTGCCCTGTTTGGATGGGGGCAGAGGGCTGCATGGTGGAACTGAGAATGGGGATGGGTGTCCCCGGCACACACTCACCTGTGTCCACCCTGCCGTAGTCCACAAAGATCTGCAGCATGACGGAGCCCAGCAGGTACCCGAAAGCCGGTCCAAATACAGAGATGGCAAATAAGATGGCTGGGGATGGAAGTCAGGGAAAGGAGGCTGGGGGAGGTTGAGGGGGCTCTGCAGCCCCAGGTTCCCAAGCTGAGCTGAGATGTCACCCCATCTGTCCCCTGGCCCTGACAAGTTCACACCTAGGGTATCTCCTACAGGCAAAGCTGCATTCCTCTGCCCACCCCAACCACATAGGATCCTAAGACATGCAGAAGCAAGGCTGTTTCTCCTCCAAACAACTGCCAGTGACCTGCTTGCCAGGAAGGAAATGGCCTTGATGGTAACTACAAAATGCCAGCCCAGGGTTATGCTGATGGGTGAAAGTCCCTGTGGATGTGATGCTGGTGGCCCTGGTGGGAGCTCATAGTGCCTAAAGGTATGGTCTGTCTGGTCTGGGCTATAGGTCCTTAGGATGCTCAGTGTGGCTTGTTCTATGGAAAGGATTTGGGCATTCAGAGGGTCGTCTGCTATCTGCTTTGCATGGGCTCCTTTGAGGCCCTCCTGCCCTGAAGTGCATGGCTCAGAGGAGACATATATCCCAGCCTGCACCTGGAGGACTGGACAGCAGCAGTAGCTGCTTTGGTTTCTGATGTACCCAGTGCCCGACATGTGCTAAATGGTTATGTACATCATCTCATATGACCTCACAGCCACCCAGTGCACAGGTGACATCAGCCCTGTTCTGCAGGTGAGGAACCTGGGGCCCTGGGGTTTAGCCACCTGCCCAGGATCACATAGCTAGGAGGTAACAGAATTGGCATTCCAGGCTGGGGTATGGGCAAAGGTGGTCAGACCTCCGTTCAACCCTCAGGACCTCAGCAAGTGCCACATTAGGACCTGGCCCCTCCCCATACTCCTCTCCAAGCCTGGGACTCACAGATGTACAGAGGTGAGTTGTTGGGCTCTGAGAAGTCGTCCACGTAGGAGATCCCGAATGGCTGAATGGGCACCGTCCCAATGCCAGCCAGCAGCTGGGCAACCACCATCAGGCCCCACATGTTGCCGGTCTCTTTCCGGGGATTCTGGGTGGTGCTCTGACACTTACTGGGGGGCAGGCTCTGCCAATGCTTCTGACAGAGCTCGGCCTGAAAGCGGCTGCGATTCCCTGCAATGAGAGTGTATGCTGGCCTCCACTACCCCATCCCCTGCTTCCAAACTGGCCTCCAAAGCTGGCCTTTCTCCTGGCCCTTAGAGAAGGGCCAAACAGGTCAGAAATGGCATGCCAGAAACAAAGGTGAGAGAAAGGTGGGGTGTGGGCTCCCCAGCTCCAGGCACAGCCTTCTCAGGTAGGAGAGGAAGTGTTCTCTTATGGGTGTCCATGCTTTCTCCTCTGCAGGCCCCCATGGAGAGCTGGGCAAAGAGGGATAAGTACCTTCTTCCCCAGAGGTCACCCAGCTAGAAAAGGGGGATCCAGGATCAAAACCCAGGCTGTCCACCTCCAGTGACCCTGTGCTGAGCCCTGGGACCCTGGGCTCATGGGTTCTCTCCAGCAGGTCAGAGGTCATTCTATCCCATAGGCAGGGGTTCACCTCCAGCCTGGCTTGCATCTCTCCTGGATCATGACTCTCAGAGCCTGCACTCCTTAATGAGCATAGCACCAAGTCACACTGGGGGACCTACTGCCAAAGACGTTTCATGGCCCTCCCACACCTGGGCAGCTGCCAAGAATCATGGAACTTCTGAAGCTCAAGGGACTTTGAGACCCGCTAGTTCAACCTCTCATCTTGCAGATTGGGGAGCTTAAGCTACACCCAAAGGAGCCAGGCTTCACCTTGAGGGCCTTCTGAGAGAGTCCCAGACATCCCGCTGTGGCCTGTGGGCACTATGGCTCCTGTGGCCATGGACCTCGCCAGGCTGGGCTGCTGTATCCAAGGCTCTGGTTTTAATTTGGCTCACACTAAACCATCAGCACTGTCGGTTCTCCAGCGCCTTGGGGGTTCTCAAGGGCTCCTTTCCATGCCTCATTCAGGTCAATGGAAACCACCAACATCACCCACCTCACTCCATGGGGTTATTCACTTAACACTAACAAGACTCAGTTTAATTCTCATCTGTGGTGCTCTCAGAGAGGGTGTGGCCTGAGCTAGGTGGGCCTAAGTCCCTCAGAGAGGAAAACTGAGTGCCATAGACTAGACCTGTCCCTCACACTGGACACTGCCCAGTGCTATTGGGCTCAGAGCTGCCCTGGATGGTAGGGCTCGGGGAGGGGGGGGGTCTGCTCTCTTCATCATCCTTTCCCCTCTCCCCAGGCTTGCCCCACTGTTGTCGCCCGCTACACCATGTCTGTATAGGACACATTTGACAATTGCTGGCACAGAGGGCTCCCCCATTGGTCAAGAAGGCCCATCCCAGGAAAAGCAAAGGGAGTCTGGTCAAGATCATCCAGATCTGGCACCAACTGTGTGCAGGGAGGGAGCACCCAAGCAAGTGGCCAGGGACTGGCTGGTCCCAGTGGTCAGTGTCCCTCTGTACCTTCCTCCTCCCATTCCATGCTCACCATCCTGCTTTCCAATGCAGAATTCAAATGGAGTGACCTAAACGCATGGTGGAGCCACGAATTAGGGTGGGATCCCAGCCTTGTTTACATGGAAAGTCAGCTGTGACATCTTATGAGGTTTGAAACATAACTAGTAGTTAGGAGAAGAATATGATCCCTAACTTATAAAGCGTATGTGCCCTGACTGAACAAACAGAGGAAACCTTTGGACGATGGCTGCTCTTTCTGGGACTGATGTGATTGTGCTGACTTTTCTTGTACTCATTGTATTTTCTAATTTTTTATTATGAACACATGATACTTTCCAAAGGAAACAATAAAGTTTTTAAATTGAAAAAGTTTTCATAAATATATATATCTAAATTTAATAACATCTCTTCCATTTTTGGTTTCTCTGTCCCATCCCTGTTGCCCTTCTTTCTGGTTGAAGCTCTAGGCCTGCAAAGGTGTGGGTGCCTTCCTCTGCCCACCCCCTCTCCCCTGTGGGATGGTAGACTTCTATGATTTACAGGCTCCTCCAACACCAAAACTTTTAAACTTCCATATTGACAGGTTTGGGAGAATTTCTCTATACGTAGCCACCTTCAAACATTCGAGCTCTCTGACCCCTGAAGGTGGCTGGGACCTTAAACCCACTTCCTCCCAGGTGGAGGTGTCCAGGAAGAGGGGTGGCTACTTGGAGTTTTGCTGTAATCCTGATCAATAAGATAAAATAAACAAACACAGTATAGGAAGTCAAGAAATTGGTTTTATCCCTAAGTAGCTGTGTGATCTTAAGCAAGTTTCTAAATCTCTCTGAGCCTCAGTTTCCCTTAGGGCAGAGATCATAAGGTGACTGGATAGAGAGATTTCTTCTGAGTTAATAATGAGCTAGAAAGCTATGATTTCAAAAAGAGGCCCAGACATGAGAAGTCAGACCCTGCTCGTTGGCCAGCAGGCCTGGTGGCTGTGCATGCTCTCTTGGAGGAAATTGGTGTGGCTCAGTAATGCTGCCTGGGTCCCCTTCTTAAGACAGTCACTTTAGTCAGGAAGCACACAACTGTAAAATGTTCCTGCTACGAGAGAGACCACAGGGGCAGTCTGGCCCTCCCACCACCCCACTCAGGAATCCTTCTATCAGCACTGACGCATATTTAACACCCAGACATGGGTGTGGTGCTGCAGAGGCATGTGGATCCCAGGGGGAGGTCTGGGTGGCCATGATGTGGCAAGGCCAACAGAAGTTGGAAGGCCTGCCCTGGAAGCCTGGGACCAGGTTCTCGTCCTGAATCCATGACTTCCTGTGACAATAACGTTGACTTTGAAGGACGTCAGAGGATTCTAGGGAGGGGCCAAGCACAGCGGCAGATGAGAGGCTGCTGTTGGGCCAGGTGGGCAGAATCAGGCTCACTAATCACTGGCTGCCCTCGCCACCTGCTGCCCCAGGTGGATGGCTGTTTCCATATCACAGGCTGTGCTGGTCTTCAGAGTGAGGGATGGGCAGGTACCAAGGTGCTGTGCTCTTCTCAAGACCAAATGGGACTGTTCAGGAATGAGAGCTGAGCCAGTTGCCTACCCCGGGAAGGCATTTACACGTACGCACCTGACCCAACGCAGCCAGCTGACCTGACACAGTCATGCAGTCACCTGACCAACCTGTACATGTGTTTCTCTGATAGCTTCTCTGTGCCAACTTTGACCACATGGATGTGTTTCTAAAGGGCCAGCAAATACCTTGAGTCCATAAATTTAAGGCCCACTTTTCAAATGAGTATTTCTTTCCAATAATTCAAACAAATTTCAGGCACACATTGTACAAAGAAATGAAGTACAAATGAAGTCTAAGCTCCCCCAAGACCAGAGGGGCATAGTCACCGGAAATCGTGTGTGGCTGAGCCATTCCTCTGGCTGTGACAGTGGTTCTCTGTGGGATGCCACCTCACAGGCCATGGGGTGGGAGGGCCAGATCTTACTTATATGCAGAAGTAGCTTAAAGAAAATGACAACACTAGGGAGGAGGTGAACTCTCGGCCTCTGTTCAGCCAACAAAGGACCATGCCGAGGCCTGAGGCTGCCCGCTTCGGCTGTGGTGTGGATGATGCCTACTTCACAGAGGGAAGGGAGGAAAGACACCTCAACCCAGTTTTATTCATCCTTCAGTCCCTCGTTTATTTGGCCAATAGTGACCCTGGGTGGTCACTGTGCTTGACTCCTTCAATCTACTGTGCTATGCAAATAACTAAAAAAGCAACAATATTGGTCACTCAAATCAAAACCACCAGAAGATACCACTTCAAACCCATCACAATGGCTACTGTCAAAAACCCAGAAAACAAGTCCTGGCAAAGGTGTGGAGAAACTGGATCCCCTATGCATTGCTGGTAAGAAGGTTAAATAGTGTGGTTAATGTGGAAAAAGAATGGTGATTCCTCAAAACATTAAAAAGAGAATCGGCAGGGTTGGGCACAGTGACTGAGGAGGGGGAATTGTTTGAGCTCAGGAGTCTGAGACCTGCCTGAGCAACAGTGAGACTACATCTCTAAAACTAGCCCAGCATTGTGGTGGGCGCCTGTAGTCCCAGCTACTCCAGAGGCTCAGGCAAAAGAATCCCTTGAGCCCAAGAGTTTGAGGTTGCTGTGAGCTATGACCCCACAGCACTCTACAAGGGTGACAAGGTGATAAAAATTTAATAAAAAATAGAATTGGCATATGATTCAGCAATTCAGTCTAGATATTTCCTCAAAATAATCAAAAACAAAGACTTGAAGAGATATTTGTACTCTCATATTCATAGCACGATTAGTCATATAATAGCTAAAAGGTGGAAACAACCCAAACATCCCTCCCCTGGTGAATGGCTACACAGTGTGGCACAGACAGGGGAATAACATTCAGCCTGACAAAGAGAATTCCGACACAGATGAGCTTTGAGGACACTATGGGAAGTGGAATGTGCTAGACACAAATGTATGATTTCACTGATGCACGTTATCTAAAGTAGTCAAATTCATAGAAGCACAAAGTAGCAGGGTGGTCGCCAGGGCCTGGGGGAGAAGGAAATAAAGAGTTAGTGTTTAAGGGGTGTAGACTTTCAGTTTGGGAAGCTGAAAACACTCTGGAGATGGATGATGGTGATGGCTGCATGACATTGTGAATGTGCTTAATGCCACTGAACTGTACACTTAGAGAGGGTTAAATGATAAATTTTATGTCATGTATGTTTTACCACTGTAGCAGCCTGGATAGCTTATGGCTAGGAGGAGTGAGTTAGAGGAAATACCTGTAATGGAACACCTTGGTGAGAAGGGCATGGAGAGAGAATTAGTTCTAGCAAGCATGAGAGAGCTCGCGAGATGACAGCACTGGTGAATTGGCAGTCTCTACACCTGTGGTGTTGAGAGGTACGAGCTCAGCCTTATATTTAGCAGGCAGTCAAAGAGCATGCACATTCTATCACGGACTCGCTTACTCTGACTCTGTCCCCTCTCCTGCCTGCAGAATGCCAGCACGACATCTCTCTGCCGAAGATTACCAAGCTCTGCTAAAGACTAAGATCTGTCTATTTTAAGAAGACTGCTTTACTCTCTCTAAGACACACAGTGTCTCTTTTTCTCTCCAGCTAAAGTAGA